TGTTTTGACCTTGTGCTACTTATATGTCACAAATTGCATCATCAGTAATTATTCTGAACAGACATCATTTTTTAATACCTTCCCCTTATTGATTCAACAAAAGATAGTTAAAACCTTATCAGTAGCAAGAATGGACTCTGTAAACATGAAATATCACAAATTGTAAATATCTGTTCATCGTATTTCTTTTTGAAAATAAAATAAAAATATGGAATGAACTTTCTTAACACCCTTTATTACACACCACTTTATTTGATGAAAAATGCATTTTTTATATGATTTACTTTCTTTTAAAATCAGTAGCTATGTTGCATTTTTCTTTAGATTAACTTAATATTTAGAGGAAGGGGGCTTGTTTATTGTGATTTTCCAATCAGTGGAATAACAGGATCAGATGTAATTTTAGTGAGAAGTATGAGTATATGGCTTCTTCATGTATAATTAAATTGTCCGGCATCATGCAATTTTATTGAAGTGTAAAAAGATATTTAAAAAAAAGCATTTTGCTAGATATCAATACAAAAAGTAGAATATTTACCCTATAATACTTTGTAGACAGAGGAAGATATGTCAGCTGCACAAAAGTCAGGGGCAGTTTACTTTGGGGATGAATCACTCATACAGAGGGTAAGTTTTACTGATACCAGAGAAGAAATGCTTAATACCACAGGTTGTTTATATCTCAAATGAATAACTCTTAGAGTAGGTAAGCTTGCAAAAGCATGAATCACTTTTACAGCAGGGTTTAGTTGACAACTGGAATGAATTACTATTAAAGCAGGTAAATTGACATCAGGGACAAAACACTTTTACAGTGGGTAAGTTTAAGATTGGAATAAATCACTCTTACAGCAGGTAAGAAGAAATAAAATTGAACAAGCTTTATGTATTGTTATTAACATTACACATGATTTTTGCATATAAAATGAATGGAAATCTATGGCATTCAAAACCTCATAACACGGAAAGGGGTCAAAAAGTTGAAGCATGCCTTTTATTTTGACATCACAACCATTGAACGCTGTGGAAGTGCAATGTTATACATGTAAGCGACATTGACCAGAAGCTTTTACGTTGGCTCTTCCATTATCTGTAGTTTACACGAAGGATAAAGCATGGGTTTTGAAATATAAATCAAATTTGCAGTCAAGGCAGAAAGTTAAAAAATGTAAATATAAGCAGTACATCATTTTTTTTTAAAAGATATAGTCTCATAACTGCAAACAAATTGAGCAATGCGCATTATGAAAATATATATCTTTCAAAAAATTATGATTCATTGCTAATGCCCTGTTCACACGGAGAGTTTAATTCGCAGTAAATTAATGCGAAGTAAACTAATGCGAATCAAACTAATGCGAATTAAATTGCGTTCACATGACAGGCAATGCGAAGTAAACTAATGCGAATTAAAATTCTTTGGCATTATGACGTCATTTGCAAATCACGTCACCTTCTGCAGAAGCAGACATAATGTCACAGTACACACATTTCAATGATTAACAAAATTTTCCTTAGTTTTTCACTCAAAAATAGCACAAGTACCTATAGCTGACTATTGGCAAGTGGTATTTGACTAAATTTTGCCATTACTCATGCGTCAGAATTTAATTCGAATTAGCTTCGCTTAGCGTTCACACGGAGCTAATGCGAAGTGTGTGCGCAGTTAACTAATTCGAATTAAACTAATGCATTAAATTCTCCGTGTGATGAAAATATATAAACTTTACGTTTAATTCGAATTAAACTCTCCGTGTGAACAGGGCATAAAATGTACTTTGTAGATTCAGGTTTATATCTGATTTCAGTTTCAGTTATCTTTTTCAGCTGGACCGTAAGAAAGGAGATTTGACAAGAAATGACTTTGACATAGTTCTCTGTATCCCAGAAATGCAAGAGGCACTGTTTCCTCTGCGGAATCATGTGTTAAAAGGCATCTACCCATCAGCAGAAACATGTGAGTGGCCCAGAATTTGTCATTGCTGTATGATCTATAGGAGTTGAGAATCATTGGTTATACTTATTTGATTTTAAATCCCTAAGACTTACTAATGTAGACATTCTTTTGTAGTTACACTAGGTACAGATATTGAGCAGATGATGCTTAAACAGAAGGACAGTGTTTCCTACACATGTAAGAAGGAGGGGCCAACTGGAAGAATTCAAATTCCTATTGGAAAGGTAAACATGAAGAGGCATCAATATTTAAATAAAACTTCTGCATCATATATTTATGGAATCATTATACATGTACTCTGTTTTGGGTGCTAGATCCCTTAAAATGCCATGCATAACTGAAATGACCTTTTCCCATATTTTACGACTATAATTGAAATACACATAGGTAGTCTACATGTATCGGTATGTAGAAAATGAAGGTTTTTTGTTCTCACTTTCAAGAAAGTGAGGACATCAAATCTCAATTATCTATCTGTGATTCTGTCCATTGGTCTCAAAAATTTAACCTTGGTTGAAGTTTGTTTTGTTTTTCAAATTTTTTTTTTATATTGTTGACAACTTTCGAAAGAGAAAAGATAGGGTGTTCATATTTGACCTTTGTTTTACCCTTTACAAGATTTTCTAAATGTATAATGATTTTTTTTACCCCATGACCTTAATGTTTGTGGTACATGGAGTCTCATGTGATTCTGTAAGCTCATATGGTATGTGAATCTTTGATTCAGTAAGCACATGTGGGTCTCATATTATTCTGTAGCTTATGTGGATCTCATATTATTCAGTTTACTAAGCACACATGGTATTTAAAAACATGAAATTCAGTTAGCAAATATGAAACATGGATCTTGCGTGAATCAGATATTTACAGGTATATAAAAAAATGATGTACACACATCTCATATCTATAAATCACTTTGGTATTACAATTTTAAACAACAAGAATGATCAAATTTCAGCTAAGCCTGGGGATAGAGAAGATTGTGGAAAACTTTGACTATTTCTTCACCTCTTTGTTACAACATCCCAAAGCAGCTCAAGTCAAGCCTGGAGGTAATACAATTTTGTTACAAAATAAAAATACTTTAATAAAAAGCAGTTCATAAATGTACATTGTATCTGATGGAATTTCTATTACCATTAAAAAAATGATGATCAGTTTACAGTAATGTTATTATGAAAAAAATAATTAGGTTATTTTTTTTTACATGTACATAAATCAATATATGCAGTAATAATAGATATAGCAGTGTGGTTCCTTTTTTTTAAAGAAAATTTTGTGACTTCTGCTCGATTACTTGTTCCTCCGTGTGCTGAGCAGCTTAAATTAAAAGACGAGGAACTACGGCGATTTGTGACGTCTAAGAAACAAAAATCAAAGAAAGACACTCAAAGGGAAGAGGAAGACCTAGAAGATTTGATTGAAGCAAAGGATTAGTTAACTTATAGTGTGGCACTGCTACATGTAAAAACATAATATATATTGAGGCATTGCTAGAAATGTAATATTTTATGTTCAAAATAAAGATGTGTGATAGACAATTGTTTAAGGAGTGTGTATATGTATAGAGTTTTCATCGAGCACCACACTACTTTGGGGGTGATCAATTGAATAGACTTGAATCTACACTACAGGAGGATGCTTCCATAAAAATATGACCAATAATGGCCTTGTTGTTCTTGAGGATTTTTTCTATGAAAAACTTGTATCATTCATTGAGGCCTCTCCCTACCCCTGGGGTCATGATATGACAAACTTAAATCTACTCCTCAGAGGATATGACTAATCATACATGTAGCTTTGCTGAGAGGAACATTTTTCTTATGAATTCATACATGTATGTAAAAAAATGTTCTTTTATTTTGGCCCAAACCTTTTACCATGGGTCATTATTTTAGCAAGGAGAAAGCCTATAGCTTTAGATATAAAAATCATGTTCAAACTTTTAATTTAGTATGTAGAATTAAGTTCTTATTACATGTATTAACATTTGTGAAATTATAATCAACAACTTCTTTTCTGGAAAAATTTTCTTGGCAAAATTTATTCTTTTATTTAAAAAATTATGTGGCATTTGTGGTGCTCAAACCCTTGATCATTTTCTTTTAACATCAGCATGCTAAACCAGTAGACAACAGAAGTCCCAATGAAAAGCTTTTGATATGACCCTTGACTAAATGGACTTCAAGAATTTCTCAGAAAGATGTGAATGTTATGTCTTAAAGATATGTTTTTAAGGTAAAGTGAGTCTTCGTTCCATATTTTTGGTAACCAAAATATGTACTAGGTATATCTTCATACAAACTTTGAAGACTGACTTTCAAAAAAAATGAAGCAAAGACTCATGTGAGAATTTACATACAGTATATTCTAAATTATTCTCCTTGAAAAGGGAGTCCCTTTATCCAAGGATGCTTTGTTTGATTAAAATTGTCCAATGGTTCAGGAGAGGAGGTCAGAAATCTGAAAACGTTTACAGTCAGACGGACAGACAAAAAAATATCAGAAAAGCTCACTTGAGACTTCTTTGATTTTTCAAAATACATGTACATGTACAGCTATACTAATAAACCACTCTTGATTAAAGGATTTATTACAAAGTTCCATCATGAATTTCTTATTTGATATGTTCTCATCAGACTGATGGGGGGGGGGGATAGCAGAACATGGACACTGCCATTCTTTATTATTTTGGGTTCCTATCTCTTGCCCCCCAACTCCACCTATATCACTTAATAAAATTGATAGAGATTTTCACAGAATCTTAATTACATACATCTATTGTGATCTCTTGTGTTATGATCAGATTTGAACAGATGTTTCATGTTTCCCATTACAAAATACAAACTTTGCCATTACATTCATATCAGAGAACAGGGTACCATTTTGTAAGCTCAGTGTTCACAGTACCTCTGCTGTAGTAATCCTGTATTTAAGTGTCAGATGTATAATGGCGATAATTTGGTTATGGAGTATTGACAATTCTACATTTAATTGGGTGATTTTTAACAGTAAACCTGGACCTTGGCAGAATAAAAACAACTTGTTATTTAGTATACGCCTTTTATTTTAATATCAAAACCTATCTGGAAAATATTGACCGGAACTGGCCCACTCCTATCATCTAAAGCAACAGCTAAAACATCAAATGGAATAATCTTACACACACAAATACTTTAAACTGTTTTCATTTGGATGTGCTGAGGGAACATATCACATTTCAGTAAATTAAAAAAAAAACGCAACAGAACAATTGGGTTTTCACAGTGCACAGGCAAGGTATCAAATAGTGCCAAAAAATAATGTAAAATGAAACAAAACCTATCAATGAAAAGTTGAATACCAACATTTAAACATCACTTGCTCAAAATAAAAATGTGGATTTTTACTTGCATAAATATTCTTGTAAAAATGTTCAAGAAAGAGATTGTTTTCCAGGAGCAGATCTCTAAGACTAATAATATAAACTACGGTGATGGATAATTGGTTAGTCAGCTGCCTTTGGTGTTATTTTTTCCTCCAATTTTCCAAATACATGTAAATGAGTATTAATATTTATTGCCTGACAATCAACCAGTCAGTATCATTCTCTTGTTCCTTTGTATTAACCAAACTAGCATTTTCCACCAAAACAAATCTGACTCGTACAAATAATTCTACTCTTAAAATTACTATCTAGTGCAGTGCTGTGTAATTCAGCTAAATATGTGATCCTGCATGCAAAACAATGTAGTGCTTAAGAAATATTAAGGCCCACATTAATTACAAGAGTTTGGATTAAAACTAAATTTTGCTTGGTCTGAGTACATTTGTACCTTTCTTAATAACATAAGAAGAGTGTAAAATGATATTGACTGAATTCTTCAAATTCATTGTTAAACCATAACAAAATTGATAAAAAAAACATCAGACAAATCAACATGGTAGATCTTAGTTATGTCTTAGTTTTGTTTTTTGCTCATTTGATCTTTAATTAAACAAGGTTCACAGTCAGTCTTTCCTCATCTTAAATTAAAATAAGTCATTCCAATACATTAACCTTAAGAAAAATTTGATCAACAATAAATTTATATTTATTAGATACTTTAAATATTACACAATAATACATGTACATGTATGTTTGATGTTACATAACTTACATTAGGGATTTACTTTGCAATTTAGAAAATTAGTTATACATGTACCAACATTACATCATATATAGCTATAGCAAGTATTGTTTGGTATATACGGTACTAAAGAATTACAATGATCATTATAAAATAAAAATGCATAATGGTAATATAAAACCAAATACTCTACATGTATCTAGCATGCTACAACTAAGAGACAAAGAAAAAAATCTCCAGTAAAAGTTACTCCATTCTTCCTTCATAATCTGACTTCTCTTTTGCTAAAATCATATGATAATTAACAAAAATGTACACGGAATTAACAACCATAAGATAAAAACAAATCTGTGCAAAACGCAAATCTTATTAATGAAAGCTCTGTATGAAGACTGAGTTTTGTTGTAATGCCGTATTAAATTTTCTCTAAGTGAAGGTGAGACCAGCTTCCTCATACACTTTAAATATCTTCTTAATGGAGGTAATGTAGGCAGCAGTCCGTAAATCCAGACCAAGGTTGTAGGTCATGGCAGTGTCCATGATATTCTAAAACAACAAAACCTCCATGATCAGACACCAATATCATGTCAGCAAATAAACTATAAATCTTTCAAATATAGCACTAGAATCTTTTCAGAATGAATAAAAATAAAAGATACATGTATATATAAATTTCCTATATTCCAACAGGACATATGTACATTTAACATTTAAAGAGAATGATAGCACATTAAACAACAAGGATAATGGACATATTTTATTTAGGTTCAAACACATGTATGGGGATTTAACCTAGGTTGGATTCTATGTACCCTGAAGCTCAATGGTACAGTGTATATAGAATACAAACCAGGGTAAATCCCTGTTCTCTTGACTGAACCTAAATGGGGAATTTATTTCCAATATAGACAAATAAATTTGTTATCCACATCATCTTTGCTACCAAGGGTTTTTGATCCACTACTCTCCTTACAAATGCTTAGCCTATTGTGCCAGCAAAAGCTGGTGTTCATGTCACATAAGATTCACTTTGTGCTACAGTATAACCCATTATGACATCCATTTCTACTTACCCTGGCAGATCTCTGCATGGAGTACTCCAGCCCTGAGTGTACAATGTCCTTCTCTGAGGCTCCCTACAACCAGGTTAAAACACAGATATTAACAACTAGTATCCTCAGCATTCTTTATACTCTGTATCATAACACAGTCAGTGTACTTACAGCAATCCTCTCCTGGAAGTCTCGAGATGGGACGATGGGAACGGTGTCTTTCTTGCCTCCACCAAACTTTCTCTCTAGGGATTGTTGTACGCTCTCTGTATAAAGAAAATGAGTAATTTTTAATGTCTTTATACACATGACTTCAAAATGTACAAGTATGTATAGTAAGTATAACTAAATCTGGGAAGATATCCAGGTTTAAATTCTTTTCTTTCTGATAATGTTACACTCATAATCTTAATCAGTATTTAAATTTTTCTTTCATTAATAGCAACTTGATTATTTCATATTCTTCAATACAACCCCAGTGCAGATCCTTATTTGTCAGATAAATGGATAAAAACATTAGTACTTACCTAGCAGATGGTAATTGGAATCTCTCTCATACTTAAAGGTCAAACGTCCATAACTGACATGGTTCAGATTTTTAAGCCACTCAAAATATGATACAGTCACACCACCAGCATTGATATACAGATCCTATGGGAAAATGAATATTCACTTATTGATTTGTTAATGTTTTGAAAGAACTGATTAGCTTTTAATTTATACATTGCTGAAACAAAAATCTTTTTTGTTTCACTAACTTTCTTTTGAATTTTGATGATGCATGACTGAGCTTATTAACAGAATAAATATATACTACTCACTGGAATGACCAGGACTTTTCTCTCTAGAAAGATCTTGTCTGCTCCCATTGTAGTAGGACCGTTAGCACCTTCAGCAATAATCTGAAATTATTTTAGTGTACGTATTATACTTTTCTTTTCATATCTTGCATCTTAAATTTTATTGATGCTTTGTTTTTACCTAAATTCAGTTGGTGCTAAAATTAATTGAGAATTAAAATCCTGTATTTAAAAAAAAATTTAGTTTCCAAAATTGCAACCACTCCTGAATTCAGTAGTTGCTGCACTGGACTGTTCCTGAACTGTTCTTGCTGCATTCTTTGATGTTGAAATAAATTCCAATTAGTCGTTTTGAGGTAATTATTCATTTCTTCAAGATGATTGATACCTTGGCCTTAACTAGATGTGAATTTTGAGGTACCCATTCATTTCTCCTGTAAGTTCATTGTTACCTTGGCTTTAACTAGATGAGCATTCTCCTTGGTCAGCTGTCTTTCACTAGCCGCAGGAACCAGAATATCACAATCAGCTAACAACAAATCATCATCATATGGTCTAGCCTTGGGGAATCCTTTGATGGTGCCATTTTCCTTTAAAAAAGTCAAATTAAGTTTCAAACATTTTCATATGACCTAAGAAGGTGCGGGATAAACTTGTCCACAGTAGTGTGAATACCATACCAGTTTATAATCCTCCAGCTCCTTAGGATCTATCCCTTCTTCACTGTAAATGCTGGCGTCTATCTCCTTCACTCCTATACACTTAGCACCCGCTCTGTGGAGGTACCTCATGCTGTGAAGTCCTACATTACCAAATCCCTACACAGATATACATGTTCATAGTTAGTCTTTGAGACACACCTGGGTGTAAGGTATAGATGTATAAATATGTACTCTTCCACAAATGAACTTTAGTATCTTGAACACTGATACTGCAGATCACTAAATTTTCGCGACACCTTATTTTCGTGAGATAGTCATTGACTCTTTATAAGCGAGACATAATTTTCACGAATTGTTAATATTTCTCTATTTAATCTTAAGGAATACTATTATACGCGAGAATGAAATTTTCGCGTGCTCACTGTCTCGCGTAATTACGCGAAAATAAAGTGATTTACAGTATCTCAAAAACCAAGGATTTGTCGAAGTGATTTAGAAGTCCCAAAATCATTAAATTTTCCTACAGACAAAATACTTCCCCATACTGAGTTATGGTTCCGTAATAATCTGTGCTGTTCAGTATGTCTGTTTATATGTGAGAGAAGGTATGGTGTTTTTTGTTGGTACCTGAACAATAAAGGTCTTATCCCCAAATCCTGGCATCAGTCCAATCATACTCATATAACTGGCCTCATTGATGAAGTTCTCAATTCCATGAAACACACCCTGTAATCAAATCAAACAATTAATCAGATCATATCTCTAAATGTTTCTCTTTTTCACTGGTGTCAAAACAAAAACTATGTATTTTTTGTTTACATCTGGTGCAATGACTTATTCAGTACTGTATTACAATCAAACAAAGTATCAGGTTTACACAATGCAATGTTCCAATTCTATAAGCACTCAGTGAGAACTCCTAGCACACTTGTGCTTAAGACTTTACATTACACTTACACGGCCTGTTGCTGAAATGCGCCCATGAATTCCGCCCTGAGTGATTGGCTTTCCTGTGATACAGGCATTTGCATTTATATCATTGTAACCTGTAAAGAACAAAAAATTGCTATAACACTTCATGGATGTAAGATATACAAATGTCTATGTTCAGTTCACGGTCAAGTCATTTCTTAAATAAAGAAAACAATATAACCTACAATCAAATCATGAAATTTTGGACAGATATAAATCTATGAAGGGTCGTACCAAGAGTGTTAGCATATGTGTCTGCTATCCAGCTCATTTCTCTCTCTCCTGTCCCCATGTCTGGAGCAGGAACATCAATACCCGGACCTGTTTATAAATACATCGATAATGAATAAAGAAAGTAAAAACATCATGAATGTTGAGCAATAACCAGGACTATGTTACCAGGTTACCACAAAATTTATTAAAACTATATTCCCTTGTAAATCAGATTCAAGAGATAATACACTCATTTATTCTGAGAATACAAACCCCCTCCCACTAGACATGAACAAAAAAATTCTGCACACACACACATCCTCTTTCTCAGAGTCAAACGTGTTCCATTCATTTTTAAAATTAAATCTGAAGAGACATTTCCACTTTGTATGATGTTTAATATTTTGATACTTTATACACTTGTCTGTCAGTCGGGTATAATGATTAACAAACCTATAAATCCTTTCTTGGCGAGCTCAACAGCCAATCTCCTGGTAATTTTCTCTAACTCTTTCTCAGAATAGTTAGCAGGGTTGATTTTGACTCCAGCCTTGGCTCCACCAAAAGGAACGTCCACCACTGCACATTTGTAGGTCATCAAGGCAGCTAAAGCCTTGACTTCATCCTCACACACATCCATACTGTACCTAATACCTGTACAGATCAATTCAAAACATTAAGTTAAAACTGCTGATTTATTATATATATATATTTTTGCATTTTGTTATTAGGTCTAGGCTCAAGCCCTAAAAACACTACACTTGATGGATATTTTTTTACTATGCTAATACTGTTGAATTTACACTACTAATGACATGTAATTCATGTTTTTACATAATTTGAGTCGACATGGGTATAAACAAGGTATTGTATCTAGAATTCCAATTTTGCAGGTGGTCCCACCGATAAACGGAGAAAAATTCATTATCCCCATTATTCTGTAACTGTTGTCCAAGATTGAGTTTGGGGTCAACTAGAATGCAATTTTTTACTTTAGCCTACAGCTGATGTCATTGACCTCATAAAAATAATGACAGTTACCTCCTTTGCAAGGCGTGCGATGCTGGCTATGCTGTGCTCTCCAAGCTTCAATGATTTCATACTCGCCATTGTCACGTTTCAGTGGAAAGGTGATTTCGATCATGTGGTTTGCTGGTTTAATAATCTTCAGTATACCTTTTACCTTTTTAATCTTGTCTTCCATCGGAGCACGGCTTCTCATGCCTTTAGCTAAATCAGTCTCTATAAGAGCCGATGCCCTGTCATAAAATTTGTCTACTGTTTGTGAAAATGACAAACTATCATCGTCATCATCAGCTTCGGTACTGTAGCTACTTCTGGGGGACAAAATTCTAGCAGAATTCTTCAGATTGTTTTTGCTTCCCCATTTAGACACACTTTTTAAGACTTCCGTTGATACTGATCGCAGCATTTTGTCCACGCTGTGTGTCAGGATACTCAACAACTGCTTCTTTCACTTTTCCTCTAAAATAACCTTGAAGTAAACAATGTAAGACATCCGCTGATTGGTCAAAGCGGAAAATACGTTTGAAGGTGTGTCTGACATTCGATAAATTCAGCCAATCAAAAGCTACGTTATATTTTTGCTGGTCAAAGGATGTTCGTCATTATGATGACGAAATGTTTACTCTTTGATCCTTGATGGTGGGATCGTCGATTTTCCCAATCGGACCCTGTATTTAGGACTCCACTGAATGGAATTTAAAATAGTATACAGAAGACAATAACACTTAATAACACTTAAATAAACAAGAGATGTTTGTAAAACACTTATGCCCCCTCCTCCCAAATTAGAATTTTTCTATGTCCAAAAGAGCATAACTCTGTCAAAATTGGATCTATTGTACCCAAAAACTTGAACAATATATTTATCTGATTAATCTGTTCACCAGATTTCAATTCAGTATGTGCAATCTCTGCAAAGAAAATGAAAGGAAACTGCAAATACATTGGAATTTTTTCGAAGTTCAAGGGGCATAACTCTGTCAAAAATAAAAACTTAAGCTAGAAATTCATCTGATAAATCTGCACGCTAAATTTCATTTCAGTATATGTTAAATGGTTGTGAAGAAAATGAACGGAAACTGCCAATAATTGAAATTTTTCTAAGTCCAAGGGGCATAACTCTGTCAAAAATGGTATGATTGTACCCAAAACAGAACTTGATCTAGATATTCATGTGACATATCTGTATACCAAATTTCATATCAGTATGTGCAACGGTTGCGAAGAAAATGAACGGAAACTAAGTGGACCGACAGACAGACCAACCAACCCACAGACAGCAGCAAAGCAATATATGCCCTCCCTTCTTCGAAGAGGGGCATAAAAATATTTTGATATCTGAATATTTTACGTTTTCTTTATCTCCTATGAAAAAAGAAGATCCATTTTGATATTGAGGTCTTTTAATACATTCTCTCTTAGAATGTTTTACTCTTGTTTCTGACCAATATTTTAAAAAAAAACCTTTCACTTGATATTTCGTTTGCAATGAAATGCAATAAAACAACTTCTAATGGCCTACAAGAAAACTCCTATTGATTTTGAGGTCAATGGTCGTCAAGGTCAATGTGGAATTATAGGCTAGTTTCCAGACAATACTCCAGGTATCTTAAAAATCAAGTGGGTTAATTTGCAATAAACTAGCTTTTATATTACACAGTTGCTTATGGAAAAAGGTCGACCCAGTTTTATTTTGAGATATTAAAATATTCAGATATTTAAGAAATGAATATAATCTTTGAAGATTCATGAGTTATAAACTAAGATGCTTCAAGCCGGCATATTTATCATGAAGTGCGTTAGCACTTAAATTCATGATAAATATGCCAGTGTGAAGCGCATTGTAGTTCATGAGAAAATGAACTGCATTTAATTTTGTAAAGAATCATAGGGGAAATTTTTTGGAAATGTAAATATATATATATATATTTATCTATTTGGGTTAATGGAATTTTTTCTTTAGGTAATCTGCATATTTTTTCCAAATCTTCCACCATTTTCATTTTTCCTTAAGCAATGGGACAATTGAGGTCAATCCAATTGACTGTTCCAGATAAGTTTGTTAAGTTAACATTATACAGGGCTGAGTCCCCATCTAAGCTAGGCCAACCTATGAAAATTGAAGAAATGGATGGAAATTACTCAGTAAAAGAACGCAAACCTTATAAAACAAGAGACAATTATGCCCCCCCCCCCCCCCAACCACCACCCACCCTCTGGACATATATTATAGATGCACAAGCATTCACTATGGACAGCATACATCACTGGGCAGTGAACTTGTACATGGAAATGAAATTGGCCTGTTAAACTTAATAGGGGTCATCTACTGGCAGCAAATAATAAGACTTTTTCTAAGTTCAAGGGGCACAACTCTGTCAAAATTGTTTGAATATACTCATAACAAAATTTGACCTAGATATTAATTCTTATGAGAAATCTGTTCTCAGAAATTTCATTTCAGTTTGTGCAATATCTAAAGAGAAAATAAACAGAAACTGCAAATAATTGAATTTTTTCTAAGTCCAAGGGGCATAATTCTTAAGCTGTCAAAAATTGCTCAATTGTATACCAAAATTAGAACTTAACTCAGATATTCTTATGATAATTAAATCTGTATTTAAATTAAATTCAAATTACATTTCAGTATGTGCAACCTCTGCAAAGGAATTAAATGAATGAAAATTTGGTAGACTGACAAACTGACCTACAGACAGCAGAAAAGCAATATGCTCTCCCCTTTCAAAGGGTGCATTAAAAATTCATGCAGAAAGGTATAAACACACCTATATGTATTAATGAAAAAGGTTACTTCCCAAACCATTTTTTCTTTGTTTTTTAATTTTAAGATGGGAGTAGTTGTGGACTCCTTCATTTCTAGTTACAATTCATTAATTTTCTTTTTGCACTGAATAAAGAATTTGAATTTTTAGCACTTTGGTTTTTAACATGTCTTTGTCTTAAATAAAACAACTAGCAATGAAAAGTACACCTCTATCAAACAGTATGTCATGCAAATCTTAATGGGATTCTAATCATAAAAGTCCACTATATCACTCATAAAAAATAAAACACACATATACAAAATAAAATAGACTATTTATTTCTCAATGAATTTTACAAAGCTCTAGTAATCCTTGCAATATTCTTTTTTTCATTAAGAATACAATTACTTTTTGAAAGAGTTACCTTAAATATATCAGTACCTTTAAAGACACCTGAATGTTCTACAAAAAATTAACACACAAAAAATCTTTAAAAATTTAAACTATTAACACACTACATTTGTTAATTTGTATTCCGCAATGTTTATAATCGTGCGTTATTGTTTGTGAGGATACAATATTCAGTTTTCTTTTAAATATGAAGCAAAAATTCAACTATCAATTGTTGCCAAAGTCAACTAGTTTGTTGCAAACTTCAACCAGTTTGTTGCAAAATTTAACTTATATTTCTTAGAAAAACAAAGGTAGTGGTACTTAGAAGATGGGGGTGGGCTGGGGTGGTAAAAAGCTAAACACAATAAGAACATAGTATAAATGACATGCACCTAACAAAAATGCATAACAGGGGCCCATGGGCCACATTGCTCACCTAAGCATATGGGCTAGGAAAAAAACACAAATCAGGTCAGTATTGAAAAGTTTACCTGAGGGAAACAGGGGGGGGGGGTAATTTTATACTACTTGAGGTTTTTATTAATTTTTATTTTATTTATTTATTTTATACTACTTGACTCCATATTGATATTGCATATAATTTTGCTGTTTCTTGAAATTAAAAAAAAAAAAAAATTCTTTCCTACATAAAATTGATCCAAATTGTGGCCCCTCCCTAACAACCCCCCATACCCCGTCATCTAGCTTGAATCTATACTTTGCCAAGAAGCTTTCATATAAATTTCAACTTTTCTAAACCATTGATTCTTGAGAAGATTTTTAGATACTACCATCCCATTTTCTCTATTTCTTGGTTATCTCACCTTTGAAGAGAGTGTGGCCCTTCATTTGAACAAACTTGAATTGCTTTCACCCAAGGATACTCTGTGCCAAGGTTGGTTGAAATTTGCCCTGTGGTTCTTGAGAAGAAGATGAAAATGTGAAAAGTTTACAACAACAACCACAACAGACAATGAACAAATTTTGATCAGAAAAGCTGACTTGAGCCTTTGGCTTGGGTGACCTAAAAATACATGACCATTCTTAAAACTTATGACCTGGAGGACGGAATATAACCTGACTAAACAGTTTTAATGCCCCCGAAGAATTAATACAACCATTCTAAAATGCTTTAACCTTAACCCTAAAAAACAAAATTGTAGAACTGTTATATTTGATGGGGTCTAATTTTCCTGAATTTTTTCAAAATTTATAAGGATACCGAAACAGTAATACAATACAGGTATATGAATCATCTTTCATAAAGAGATGTTCTTCAAAATATAACTTTCCGACAAATTCATGAAAGTTGACTTCCACAAATTAAACTGATTCTGCAGTACATGCACTACCAGTAAGTACAAATAACACCCAAGCATTGATTTAAACATACAGTATATAATAATATTAACATAAATAGTTGGACAGCAGACTTTGTGTATGTAAGCCCTCTCCATACATATACATGTACAAACATTTAGTGTAGTTTCATAGCAGAGATATTGCAATATGTCCTGTCATCAAAGAATAAAAGATCTTTCTGCTACATACATTCTTTGATGTCTATGACTTGTAAGATAAAATTAAAGATTACTTGTATATGCTTCACAACTCATACTCTATATATATAAGTAAAATGATAAATAAGTTGTAAATAAAGCAAAATATATCTATTTAAAGGAGGAAAAATGTAAAAGGGAATACACAACCATCTGAAAAGGCTACAATCACATAAACCAACTCAAAAAAAAAAAAACAACAACCAATCACTTGATAGAACAGCTGTAAATTGCAGATGTACACACAAAGAGGGAAAAAAGTATTGACTAGAAATCCAAAAGGAAAGGGAATTCTGGTAGTGATCAGTTTCCAAAATCAATCAAGTACAAACAAAAGGTAAGCATTTATGTAAATGTATAAAATAATCCAAAAGAGGAGGGGAAAAACCTTGATATGCATGTACCAATCAATTTACAGTACATAGAAAAACCTGAAATAATATGTCAAAAGAGACTTTTAAGGAAAATTTTAACATGATTTACAGCATCAAATTACGGATATAAAAAGTCATTAATTTATATAATAAAACACAGAAAATATGCATTTCAAATAAAATGTCATTGATCATGTCTTTAAAATGTCATTGATGTATTTTTTTTTCAAACAATAGAAAAAAATTTACATAAACATATAAAAAATGATAGGTAAATGTACATTGGACTATGGGAAGGCTTCAGCTATCAAAACATCAAAACTCTATGCACTTCTTTTTCTTTATAGATAAATACATGTATATTAATAAATACATGTAAACACTCTGCAAAACAAATGGAATGAATCACACAGGATAATTCCCAATATCCCTATATACATATATCTAAATAGGTCACAGTATTGACAAGGCTCAAAGATTAAGGAGTCGTACAGAAGTAAGAGTTGATAATCAGATTAATTACACAGGATAGAATGAAGTGAAGTTTGTAGCTGTGGAGCTTCAGTAGTCATATCCCCACTTTGCCTTCTGTGCATTGACATCACATCTCAAAATGGATGCAAAACAGATACCTAAAATCTACAAAGTCAAAATAATATTATTTATAAGAATTCTAAAAAGGATTCTTAATTAACCTTAAACCTTCCCCAAAAATTTCAAGCCAGTAAATTCAGTTCAGAAACTTTTTATGACTGTTTATCTGACTATGCTTGTCTGACAAGAGTTATCTAACCTGTACGACAGCTATCCCCACGGCGACAGCTGCTACAGGGATAAGGTTGGTTCCAAGCCACTTCTCCCCCGAGGGTATACAACCTTCTGTGTAGATCTTTGTCTCCCTGTCAGCATTCTAAAATAGATCAAATTCAATTACCCCGGTATATTTTGCTATAAACATGCCTCTTGCAATAGTAATTTAAGCCATTCTACTACGGCTAATTCATTCAAGTTTTGTATATTTCTAAAATTAAACTAACTGTGAGTCATATAACATCACTTGTAAGAGTGATAAACAAAAGAATCTATTTCAAACAAGTTAGTTGATACAGAAAAACACAGTCTGAACATATTAACTATGATACCAAGTTTCAATCAAATCCATCAACTTAAGTACAGTACAGTAGTAAAGGCACAATTATATTCTTAGACCTCATTCAGTGGTACCCTAACAACACATGTAATACTTACACTGATCATCCCAAATCCACAGTGTCGATTCTTTATTACATCCTGAAAATGCAACAGCTTACAATTAATCCATCATTGAATCAAAATCCACAATAAACATGTAGTGCCATTACTACACATACAAAGAGCTAAGTTCTCTTTATCCATAAAATGTCAGTGTCTCTCATTTCAAACAACAATATAAAGTAGAGACTGTATTTTCATTTCCTATAAACAAAGTTTCCCATGAATGTCCAAGCATTTGGAAAACAAGCTTTGTGAAAAGAGTTCTTGAATTCTGCAGACAACAGGTGTATTTGTGTATCCTCAAGTAAAGTTAGCAGAAATTTAGCAGAAAATTCTGCAATTAATGACATCATAATGCAATGAATACCAAGACAATAACATCAAGTGATATTTTATGCACTGTCTAAAAAACTGAGCGGTTTTGATTTAATTCACCGTAAGTGGTCCTTGCTCTTTACATTAGGCTTACTAAAGTTAACTTGACAGTTAAATATCTCAGTTAGATGATTACAATGACTTACGTTGGTTGGTTTACAACACGAGAAGGGGACACCACAGGCCTCTATACTGCCTTTAGAGGAACAGTTGAAATAACGATTCAATTCCCAGTCTGCGTAGCTGTTCACCCCACAACATTTCAGCTGAAAGACATCAGGAATATTCTGAGAAGGCTGGTTGAAAAACATGGAGAAATAAATCAAGAAACAGTGCTCTTATTTGTGCACAATAAATATATACTTTCTTCAAAAGGTGGCATTGTATCTCTCCATTCTGTCAATATATTTTTTTCAGAGAGCTACAGTTCTTTCACAAGTGATGATAGAAAGCTCAAAAGAGAGCAATATTGTCTATGAGGTTCTATTGATTGATTGATTGTATATTGTTTAACGTCCCTCTTGAGAATTTTTCACTCATATTGAGACGCCACCACTTGCAGGTGGAGAGCTGCAAATTTTGTCCTATACTCAGCACTCACGGCCATTGAGCAGGGAGGGATCTTTTTTCGTTCCCGCACCTACTGCAACACGGGACCTAGGTTTATACGGTCTCATCCGGAGGACCAGTATCCACATCCCACGGTGGGATTTGAACCCGCGACGTAAGGATCAACTCCTTACTTCACGACTCTAGAGCAGACGCTCTAACCATTGCGCCATGCGGGTGACATGAGGTTCTATTAATCTATCAATCTAAACCTTCTGTTAAACATCCTTTATTAACCCAGTCCTGCGGGACCCAGGCTCTGTAAATCTAAATGTTCTATCATATTTTATACTGTAGATTTATCCAGCCCTGCTGGACCCAGTCTATGGGGTTCTATCATATACAATCAATTACCCCTTTTAAGCTCAACATGGTGAAATAAGGACCCGAGACTTGGCCTACTAGGTGACCTGACCTGACTGGCCAATGTCAGGTCAGGTCAGCGAATAGGCCAGGTTGAGGGTCCTTATTTCACCATGTTGAGCTCAAAAGGGGTAATTAATTGTTTTATTATACTGATATATTGAAGAGTATGAAACTCTAACCATTATATAGGGCCTATCTACATCGGAGAATTCTTTCTTTGATCGGGATCGGGATTCTTTATACTCCTATACAGTGAAGTTGCTTAATACATTGACCTCTGCAAGTCATGTAGGTTTATGCATCATGACTTACTGATTAAAAGAGTACTTGGTTGATAGCGACATGCACTGTAATAATTAAAGTTTACTACATGTATTCCTATATTTACCCAGTCCTGCTGGACCCAGTCTATGAGGTTCTGTAGATCTAAATCTTCTCTGTAATTGATTATCATAGTCTTCACCTGAGACTCTATTTGATTTTTTATCTGTAAAAAGAATTGTATATCTTCACTTTCCTGATTTCATGACATGTACATTGAATGAATATCATTTTAATATTGCAACTTGAAATAACTATAATTTAATTCCCCATTTTCAAAAGTGAGTTATCTCCCCTCGAAATCTGAACTCTTCTACACTAGCATAACTTCCGCGGACTACGCATTACGATAATCCAACAAAATAGTGATCAAATTACACGCTGCATTTAAAAATTTTAAAAGAAGGAAACGGTTTGCAAATTATTTTTAGATAATAAGCGATTTTATAAAAGGTCTACTACCCCCCCCCTTTCTAGAAAGCTTTACGAATTAGACAGGCACGTAGCATCGTCTTTAAAAGTGGGGGGGGACAAAGAGCTTTTTTTTCTTTACCTGGAAAAGTTGACAAGCAAAGAAAAACCTTGCCCAAAGTCGAAAAAGCTACTTATTTCCGTATCAGTTCCTTGGCATACATTACTACATTTCCCTTATATAACTTTACCGTAGTATAAACTGAGTGTGTGTGTGTGTGGGTGGGGGGGGGGGGGGGGGGGGTTGGTGCCAGCAACTATGTGCCTGTACAGGATACACATCTTATTTATGTCTTAAAAAGGATAATTTACAAAATACATGTAGATCTAAGTCTTTAATAAGCGTTTTGGTGAAACCGGGGAGATGAATTTCGCTGGATGTCAGTTGAGTGTGTTACACACTTGAACTCAGAACTGACCATAAGAATGAATGTTTCAAATCAACTTTCATGCAAATTTGATTGACACTGAGGTGATGCACGAGGGTTTCGTGCGTACAGCGTGTACAGAGAACGAATATGTAAATGGGTTGAACAGTTGAATATGAACCAAAAGTGGAAATTAAAAATTATAAGAAATATTAATTGTGAATTCAATATAATTACATGTATATCAGTTACACGGGGTTTCATGACTCTCACTCTCTCTCTCTCTCTCTCTCTCTCTCTCTCTCTCTCTGATATTGTTTTTACACACTTTGCAAAAAAGAATAACTTATAAAAATAAATACTTACACTGAAAGGATAAAACATAAATAACACTTGAGGAAAAGAGTGTTTTCCGTATTTACGCGAAATACGCGAGAAAATTATTGTATCAATTTCGTGTTTCTGCTATCAATTCTCTGATCTAAAACAAACTGCGTATTTTACTCGGGAATATACATGTACATGCTTAGACCCCACACTAAAACTTTGATTAAATGCAGTTCAGATTTTATACGACATATGTAATACGAATTCAGATCGATGCTATTTTAATTAGTCTTTCTTCGTTACATGAGCACATGAGATTAAATTATTCATTTAGAATTCCATTCAAAGTTTTAATACTATATACAGTTAATCAATTATTTTACAAATAACAAATTCTGGAAACACGGTTAATTCAAATGAAATAGGTCACTAAATCTGTTCTTGTAAGTAAAAGTTCTATGCTATGACATACAATCGAGCAAAAAACGCAGTTTCTTGATATCGGTCGTGGAAGACGAACTACTGTTGTTTATGCAGCAATTTCAGAGGTAAAACTGTAGATGGACATGTCATCAGTGTCCAAAAAATAGCTAGAGATGCAGAGAAGAAAATATGGCTGCAGCAGGCTAGATTAATTCGTAAAAACTGTATAACTAAACTTGAAGTTCTTACATTTGTTCTGCACATTTTGTAAAAAATGACGATCCGTCTGCAGAACATCCACTACCAAAAATTATCTTTTGTTTTTTTTTTTAAAAAATAGGCCTATTCGAATATGTATCAGCATTTTATCAGTAATTTGTTTCGGAATTTTTAGTAAGGGGGGGGGGGGGGGGCTCACACCGCGCCTTATTATACGACTATAAAGATTATTACAAATGCAGAAGGAGACTATGTGTGGGCAATTTAAAAAAATACGAATCAGCTAAGATTTCTTTTCTTTTAACAACACAATAACATTTTTCCATATGACAGATGCATTACACCATGAACATGTTTACATCAAGAACGTCCGCGGAAGTGACTTTATTTATAGCGCATGCGTATTAAACACAGTAAAAGAGTTCCTTTCAGGGGAAATAACTCACCTTTTGAAAATGGGGAATACTTGTCAGTAGAGCCATAAGTATACAGAACAGTGGTAATAAACCTAATTCTAATGTAAGTCCCCAATTAACAGTGTTCTCCAAAGAAAAAGACATTATTCAATGGTACTAATGCAGACTTGCTACATCTACAAACCTAAGGGTCTTTGATTTAATAAATAGCTTAATTTAGACAAAAACATGTCTCTAAAACTTCATGTATTTCTACATGTATTTCCTTCTACAGTTTATATTTATTACAAGTATATACAAATAATACAATACATGTAAAAAATTCAAATTCCTTAACCCTTCTTGTCATTCATTTGTTTGCTGCACATATAAGTAACCTTTTATTTTTTGTATCGGCGTTTTAAAAAATCTAATCAGAGATAACATAGTGATGCTTAAATTCATTAACAAATAATATAACCAGAAGTCTTGTCCTTCTACTGGTTTGTACTTATAGCAAAGGAAGAGATATATGCAGTTGGGAATAAACTTTACAACAGCAATAAATAGAATAATGATCCTTGATTTAGCCTCTTTATGTTCTTAGCGTAGTCTACTTGCATGCCACATTATATTATAATCGGACTAAAACTGTATTTGTTGTAGCAATTTGAGAGTATTTAACAGAAATTTCTATTTTTAGTAACCAAGGCAATAATATTCATCGAAGTCAAAAACCAATAACCAGAATTGTGTATCTTAGTGTAGTCTACTTGTGTGACAAGTTATAATGAAATCAGACCAAAACTATAGGAGGAGTAGCTTTTTAAAGAATTTCACAGAAATTTCTATTTTTAGTAACCACGGCAACACCGTTCATCAAAATCAAAAACTGATAAAGAGAATTATGTATCTTAGTGTAATCTACTTGTGTGCCAAGATATATTGAAATCAAACCAAAACTGGAGGAGTAGCATTTTGAAACAATTTTCAGAAATTTCTATTTTTAGTAACCACAGCAACATCGTTCATCGAAATCAAAAACCGATACATAGAATTATGTACCTTAGTGTAGTCTACTTGTGTGACAAGTAATATTGAAATTGGACCAAAACTGTAGGAGAAGTAGCATTTTGAAAGAATTTCACAGAAATTTCTATTTTTAGTAACTACGGCTACACCGTTCATCAAAATCAAAAACCGATATACAGAATTATGTATCTTAGTGTAGACTACTTGTGTGCCAAGTTATATTGAAATCAGACCAAAACTGCAGGAAGATTAGCATTTAAAAAAAAATTGTTTACAGACAGACGGACAGCTAGACACCGGACAGACGGACGGACGCCGGACGCATTCCTATCGCATAAGCTCTTCTGGTCTCTGACCAGTAGAGCTAAAAATGGAAAAACAGAGACAAAAAAGTCAGCTTGATTATGGATTCCTTCTTGCTAATTTTCACATATTTTAACTTTAAAAATTATTTCAAGCCCATAAAACTGTAGGATGCATTCAGGGTTTTCCCTTTATTTCAAAGTATAGGGTTAGAGATCAATTGTAACAGGCTTGGAGCTAAGGTTTATGATGAATCTCTGTAGACCATACAACAATTAAACTTTGATTTCTGTTATTTCAAAAACAGCATTTTTGTCAATTGATGGGGTCAATTTGGTCAATTCTTAGAGAAAACACTGATGTATTTGACAATTTTACAAAACTTTGACCTCCCAGAAAAAGAGTATCACTGATCCCTAATCTGACAGTTAACATTCCATTCAATGATAAACCATACACTAAAGTGTATTTTTCCTAGTTTATTTTCTTTATAAGCAGATTTACTTACCCAATCTTTGTATGCAAATGCCAAAATACCAATAAGGAGTTCCATAGCAAAAATCAGCCCAACTGCCACAGAAAACTGAAAATATAATCACACTTACTTCATACAAGAAATATCAAATATGGGCAACAAAAATCAACATAATGATAAAGTGCACCACCGGGGTACAATATATGCGAGTCTTGAATTATATGCTCACATTTTATTATTTATATTTATTGTCACAACCTCTGACCTTGGTATATAATAAACTTAAACTGATGATGATACTCTAGAGAATTTGACATCGGGAGAAGTATTTGATCCCCCCCCCCCACCCCCCCAATTAATGAATATCTCTGTGATATACATTTATATGTGGAATTTTACTAATATAATAGATGAATAGCCTAAAACAACCAAAGCTTTAATTGTCATCGATTTGAAAATATATGTACACTATAATCAATTCTTTGAAATTTAGCATTGCCATTTATATTAATTAACTAGTAAAATCAATGAACAGCATTAAATCTTAAAAGGTTTTTAAAAAGTTTCTGGTGCAAACAGCAGGATTTCAATGGAAATAGTGCTTCACAAGATTTATGAATCACATTTTTTGATGAAGTAACATTACATACGATTTATGACACACTTACAAACATGAGCAGACAGGTGTTCTCCCTGAGGGCCCCGATACAGCCACAGAAGCCGATGATGAACATGACCCCACCAGTGATGATGAAGAATAGAGCAGGGTCTAGGGTCACACTGGTGATCTGTCCTATATTGGAGAACATGTCCTTCTCTGTCCAAGCCCATAGTCCTATTGCACATATCCCAGCGCCAACCAGCTAAAATAGAGAAATATATACATAATTCCGTATCAGTGGAAATTTTAGCCAGACACAAATTTTGCGATTTGTTCTTAAAATTGGTATTTTATTTTTCGCAAGATGTAATTTTAGTGATTTTTTAAAAGCTCAATAAAGAAGCTGTTACAAATAAAGCGCAATTAATTTTTAGCGATATTCAATTTTAGCGATCTTGGCATCCTCGCAAATAATGCCAAAACTAAATCCTCGCTAAAAATTCTGCTTGGTATTAAGAAAATTATGGCATAAGCAAACAAAGGTTATATTCACATTGTTTGTGATTACTATCCAGTCATGGAGCAGGGGAACATTGATTGCCCATTGTGACCCCATCCTAAACCCCTGGAAAAGGTCAAGATTTAAACAAACTTGAATCTATACTTTAAAAGCTTTCAAATATTTCCTCTTTTCTGGTCCTGAGGTTCTTGAGAAGATTTTTGAAAGACATCATAAATTGTTCATCTTTTCTGAATTATCTCCCCCTTGAAAGAGGGCATGAACAAACTTTAATAATCCCTATCACTCTAGAATGCTTTTGGCAAGTTCAGTTAATACTGACCCAGGGATTTTTTTGAAGTCTAAACACTTTTAAGTATAACTGTACACAGGAGAAAGGGACAGTTTATATCAATATTTCATTTTTTTTTCAAGTGCAAAAAGGTAATTTTCAACTGGCTTTTACTAGGAAACAAGACAATTGTCACCACCACCCTCCCCTTTTGTCTTTTTTATTTTTACATTTTATCAGAGTGCAGGTCTCAACTTACAATAAAACACTTACTAGATATGGACATTATGATACTTAAATTATGACAGTAAGTAATAAGTTTTATGTCAATGACTCTTGCGTTAATACTTTGTAAGTTCTATAAATATTCTATTTTATCTCTTTGTATTGATGGTAAAATCATTTGTTTTGTCGTCTCCTAGGCAATTCTTTACGTCTCACCTGGCAAAGGATTTCTGTGTACATTATATGTCACGTAGACGGTTCACCTGAACTTACCTGTAAACCTACTGGCTACAAATTAATAGCTACTACAGGGACCTTATTTATAATGAAAAAATAAAATGAGGCATTGTATATACACTGTATAATATAATAACACATATTATATCCCAGGTGTACACAGACACAGTTTTCTGAATATGTCATCATGGTCACGGAACAGTGAAAGTTATAAATACTTGATTACACTCACTTTCGTAATCAATATTAAGTATAGTGTGAAACATTAAATTTTATTTCTAATGTTTTAAGCAACACTGGTTGCCCTTGGTAAGACTTTATACAGTAAAATATGACTTCTAAATTTTTTTCAGTCAAATATACAATTAAATAATTTAAATTTGTCACATGCATCTGAAGTGTGGACAAACATATCCTCCATCTCCTTACATAGCTAAATTTAAGGTAGGTCCGTACTTTCAGAATTTTCTGTCAAACTGTTTATTTTTTGATTTGAAAATCTTGAATAAGTCATAATCTAACAAAAACACCCATAAAAAACATATCTTTGCAGGTTAATTTTCATGCAACATGTGTATATGCCTCTAAAAATTCAACAGCCAAAATTCAACATATAGAAGTGTAACATCATATTTTATTTAGCTATGTACCAAATCACATCCAATTATTGTTAAAACTTTCATAAATATTCATTTGTCAAGAAAATATTTGAAATTTCTATTTGAAAACACTAAAAAATTGATGTTGATTCTGTCAAAATCTTTCAGAGAAAAAGCTCAAAATATCTTTATTTTAAATATTCCTCAAAATCTTATATGTTTATATGCTATTTTTTCTTTACAATTACTTAGAATTATATCTAAGGTTAGCACAAAAACATACTTTATTATGGTTGACCAGAAAAATTTTACAAAACAGCCTTTTGAACACCTATACCCCCATTTTTGGATATGTATTGTTTCAATCGCTTTTCGCAATTTTATAAAAAAGTAAATTTAAAAAGATGGTATAGGCTAAAAATTAAAGGTAAATAGATCTCAAGTTAGTTTGTTTAAAAAAATTAAAAGCTTTAGGTCCATAAAGGCAATTAAGAATTCTCTGTCTGTGTATGTACTAAATTACATATAGATCCTATGGACAGAGTGCAAAGTGGTTATTCCTATAAATAATGTACATTAATTAAATGCTTTGTGTGCACAATGACAGTATAATAAACAAATATATACTTGCTACATTATTTTCAATCATCAAAAAAGATTTTATTTCAATAGACAAGGATAATCAAAATTTTATATTGGTGTGTAAAATTAAAACCGGATCCGTAAAAGTATGGACCTGCCTTAAAAAGCCCATATTACCTGCCAAAAACAAAAATGTAATTTCAGCATCTGAATCAATTCCATTTTCTGTCTTTAAGTGCAATCATTTTGTACTTTGTTTAAAATTTAAAATTTCGGCACATAAGGTATTACAAAAATATACTGTTGAAGTGATCGTTTATTTTTACACTTTGCCTACAATGACATGCATGTGTCGGTGGAATTGAATGAAAGGAAAATTAATTAAAGACTTAATATATGTTGGTGGGGATAGGGGTTATGTACATGTTTCTGGTGCCTTTAAAGCTCAGTAATTTCTATGTACGGAGTCAACATTAAAATTAAAAGATACGTCTCTTGATGAAGTGCTCCAAAGCCATAAAACTTAGATGAGTTCACTTTTGATCTCAGTCTCCCTTTTACCTAAGGATTGAAAGGTATTTATGATGGAAAAATAAGACCGAGATCAAAAGTGAGCTCACCTAAGTTTTATGCTATGGACCCATGGCTTGATTTGGCTGAGGCACTCTTATATGACATTAAAAAGAAACAACAGATGTTTGTAAAACACTTATGCCCCCCTCCCCCCAAATTGAAATTTTTCTAAGTCCAAAAGGGCATAAGATGATAACTCTGTCAAAAATGGTAAGATCGTACCCAAAACAGAAATTTACCTAGATATTTATCTGATAAATCTATATACTAAAATTCATTTCAGTATGTGCAACCTCTGAGAAGAAAATGAACGGAAACTGCAAATAATTGGAATTTTTCTAAGTCCAAGGGGCATAACTCTGTCAAAAATGGTGTAGTCTTACCCAAAACAGAACTTGACCTAGATATTTATCAGATATATCTGCATACCAAATTTCATTTCAGTACGTGCAACGGTTGTGAAGAAAATGAACGGAAACTAAGTGGAATGACAGACTGACAGACAGCAGCAAAGCAATATGCCTTCCCTTCTTTGAAAGGGGGGGGGGCATAATTAATAATATTTTTCTATGTAAAAACATCTAAGTGAAAGAAAAAATCTTGAATAATCAGTTTTTGTCCATGAAAAGATCAATCTAATTAAGATAAGATGTTAAATACATTGGCTGTTAGTGTAGCGAGTATGCAAGGGTATCTAACATCTAATTTTAATTAGAATGTGAAGAGATTGGCCAATATTTTTAACTGAAAAAGACCTAAGCTGTGATAAGCTGGAATATACCATTACACAATGCCAGTCTCTCTTAGATAGTATGGGAAAAGAAGATAAGAATATAAGCATGAATATTTTAATTAACCAGCATATATGAATGTAAATATATTAATTAACCAGCATACATGAATGTAAATATATAAAAATAATGGAGGGTGGGGGAGGGGTGGGGGAGGGGGTAATACATCATCGGGAACTGTTTTACAATTCTTTGGTAAAATATCCGTGCTGTTTAATGTAAATAAACATATATTAATATTACTCACGCAGAATAAATTAGTAAGACATCGAAAACCACAACAATGCAATGTTATTGTCTTACCCAAAACAATACGTTAAATCCAAACATCAAATACTTCATGCAACAGCTGACTTCTGTTTTATCCCGTCGACCCCTCGATCCCTTTACCTTCCGAGTTTTGTACATGTCCATGTTTCTGTTCTATTTGACTACATCTGCCCAAAATTTAAGGGTTTTAATTATAGCTACATGATAATAATGGACATCTTTTTTGTTTGTGACAGTTCATCGCGCGGGGTCTAGACAAATCGTACATAAGACCAGTCGACCTTGGTGTTACATCTGATATATTTTTTTAAACAGGGAGACCGATCATCAGTTTCTGAAAAGCGACAGTTTGGCAATTAAAAATGGTCATGAAATACATCTGAATTTATAATATGTCTTTATCCATGGTATTTCTTTAAATTAAGTTCACCATATAGTTTATCACATTAACTGATAGTATTTATATTGACCATCAGCTACACTGAAATTTCACAAGCTTTCAGTTAGAATGCATTATTAATGTGAGGATTTCTTGATAAAGGTAGGTTTCTCTACTTGACATTTGCAGTGTTTTCTTGGAATCATTGACTTCTTACTTTTCTGACAAGATTCTGAGTTCATATGATTTTTACCGGTCAAAATCAAAAGTCGATTCTCAGCTATCTTATATCAACTGATTAAGTTAAACCAAACTGACTTTTAAATCACAGACACTTAATTCTGTATCGGGGAGGGGGACAATGTGGACTGCTCCCGGCCCCTCATTTTTCTTTCCAAATCAGCCCCCCCCCCCAAAGTCTTGTTTCCTGCTACCCGACCTACCCTATTTTTTTGCACCCGACCCTAAAGTTCTTTAGCTTTGAAAAAAAAAATTAATTTCTGGAAAACTCATGTCCTAAAACTGAAAAAAGTATACATTCAATTCGTATTTCATAAAAAACCACTTGTGATTTGTTTATCAAAAGACATGAAATAATTTTAAAAAGATGATTTAGACACACGGCATTTTTAATATGATCTTATATTAGTTCATATCCAAAAAATACCTTTAGAAAAAAATAAAATGAAAAAATAAAATTGAATAATTTTCCTACCTACCTACCTATTTTTTTTTTTTTTTTTTTGGTGGCCTCATAGCTTTTTCTACTGAAATTGTTCTTTGATGTACTGAGAGAAGCTGGAACCTAAACCTTCACCGCCATCCCCAAACGCAACGAAATACTCAGGTTTTTCGTGTGTTGACAATTTCCTTTATTGTTTATTTACTTTTAATTTATTTTATTTTTCTTTTGCTTGTCTTTTTGCATTTTTTTTTTCTGGCTGCCCCTTTCAAAACCACTGCTACGTCTTTGGTTCGGTCGATCGAGAGAAAGAGAGAGAGAATATACGTAACCCCCCCCCCCCCCCCACACACACACACTTATTTTGGAAATCCTGGATCCACACCTGCGAAAACGTAGGATGTACTACATACACGAGTGAGGTGGCAGTCATACATATCCCTCCAGTATCAGTACAGTACATGTCGATGGGGGCATTAATGAATCAACATCCGGTGTTTAAGCTGAAAACGACATTTGGAAACAGATGGGATGAAAACAAATGAAGCTTTCAAGAATGGATTTTACTGCATGACGTGTTCTAGTTATATTGTCTTCTCAGTGAAAATTCTGGCCACTGACCAGTTTATAAGGTACGCCATCACCACCTTTTTTTAATGCACTAAAATCCTAAAGCTAAGTTTCACTTTGATTTTTCTTTACGTATTATTTTGATTGTAGATTAACATGACTCTCATTGATATCCTAAATTGTTACAATTTTAAAATCGCTCTGTTTGATGCAAATGACTACGAAAAAAAGTTACAAAAACATCTACCTGGTATATCGGATTAGCCAAGTTCAATCGGGGGCGAAAACAAACAATCGGTTAGTAGGACCTAATTACACGAACATCCAACCACAAGGCAATCCGATTATATCTATCATGTCTATAGTATATATATTTTATATATATATATATTATATAATGTTATATATAATATATAGCATATCATATAACTATATATATTTCCAGATTGTGCATTCCCATCAGTGGGTGAGCCCAGGCGGATCCAGGATTTTTTTTCCAGGGGAGGAGGGGAGGGGTTGATCCACCCAACTCAAAAAAAAATTCTAACCCAGAAATTTCTTGACATCCAAAATAAAAAAAATCCCCAAACGGAAAACCTATTTCGGGGGGGGGGGGGTTTCAAGCTTCATACCATGACTATATTCGATCTACCGATTTCACATAGATTCGCGTTTTCTAGGGGGAAGGGGGGCAAGGTCCCTTTTACTTGGTTTAATTCTTACAAATATTTTACTGGCACAAACACAATTGCAGTAATTGGTAAGGGCCCATACAAAATATAATAATAAACATGGTAATACATACAGTAGAACACAACTAGAATCCAAACAATTGGTGTAGCGAATACTGTAATGATAATGCAAGTATATGTAATAACCCCCCTCTCCCCGCGCCTCTAGATCTGGCTTTAGATCTGGATACAAAGGAAAGCTTCGGGTGGTGGCGGGTTGAAGCTTCTAAATTCTTGCAATCTAATTTTTTCATTTAGAATATGCTCCTTTATTGGCTGGCTATTTCGATGAATGTGTATTATATTTACTTGATACATTTTTATGAATTCATATATAAGAGTTCAGAATTGTGTTTATTTAATGAGCGTTTTAAATTGATATAAGGCCATAGATTTTTTTTTTGCAGTGGATAGGACTTAAAATCTACATCAAGTGTCCATATAGCATAATAATGCTTGACGATTTTGATTTCAGATTGTGTGGAGATGCCTCGGTAACGATAGGTACGGTCCTGTTCTACAACAGCATGCTCGGGAGTGGACTACGCCTCTACCAGTCAAGGACACTCAAAAAAGCATCAGAACCAAAGAAAATTCTCTATTCTCTCTACGGATCCATGATGTTTAACTTTGGATCCGTTTTGTTTTGGGGATGTTGTAAACGTCTGCTACCCCGGAATGTGACGTTACGTGCTCTTTTTGGAACACTTTCTGCTTGTTTTCTGTTGATAGTTGGACGTGACTTTTTATTATTTACAGAAAACAACTGCTCATAAATATGCTTTACATTACATCATTTTCCCCAATAATTTTTAAACAGAAAAATCATCCTATATCTCTTGTTATGAATGGACATTGTTTTCTTCAAAAGAAATCTTTAAATGTTATTTTTATAAAATGATGAATTTGGCCGTCAGGTCTTTGTACCTGCTCATCTTTTCTCTTACGAAGGTCACAGCCAGTTTACGTCTGTAACTTCAGGTCAAACGAGATCTCGTAATTCTTCATACCAGAAAAACCTCTTCCGTCTCCTTACTTATTTATATATCACTTTCTAATTTTATCAAAGTTATATATTAGTCTTGTTGTTTTTTTTTTATTCTTATGAAGCAGATCTTCTACATGAGAAGAAAACTCTTGCTATAACCTTAAAAATATATTCCATTCATTCATTTTAATACCGGTGTTGTAGAGTAGGGTTTCCTCCCCTAGCCAGCCCCGTCTGTTTTCAAGAGTCTTTATGAGATCTCTCCTCGCTTCTCAGTGTTTAAATCATATGAACAACAATTTTATTGTCAATTTATATGCAAGTCAACCGAATTTTTAAATGGAAATATGAGCGTTTGTTTTTGACCGTATACATCCACGATCTATATTGTTAAGAGGGTTGTGAAATTGATCACGTTTTGGCATCTTCACCTTTTTCATTGTGTTCCGGCCTCAGCGAGACAGGAGGAGGGAGGTAAAGCAGTTGTGATGGACTCGGGGGTAAACAGGTGTCATATTCTTTTGCTCCCAGCCTCTGATTTCAATCAAGGAAATTATATTTTTGACTTATATGTACCGTTAAAGGTTTTGTAAGTAAACTGGTGTTGTGTCGATTCATTTCTAATGCTAAGGGTGTTTCAACAATTTGACTTTGTAACAAAGGGGTAATGACAGTAAACGATTGTTCTGGTAACTCTGCTAACATTTGGTGACGGTTCTTTAAGCCAGTTGCGGATGTTTCAAGATGGCTTTAGATACAGCTAGCTCGTGTTAAAATAAAAATCTAGTTTGTAGCCACCCTAAACTTACAAAAAGACATAGGGTGAATTCACCATGCATCGGATACCCTTGTACTTCAACAAGTTCTAGCGATATCGTTACCGACGGAAAATTATCAGAATGGAGTTTAACATTTAGTCTGTGATTAAAATAACAATTTAGGACACAATTATATGCCGTTTATTGAGAAAATATCCCCAAAAATCGAGTTTTTAGAAAAAACTGAAAATTCACCATGGATCGGACATTGTTCACCATGCATCGGACAGACGGTATGGAGACAAAAATATCATACCTTTATCACAGTGATTTAAAATCCTTGATATGTATATATTTTCATCTTTTATCTAAGCAATAACCCTCAACTTTAATTTAATCGACGATATCATTGCACAAATGTAGAACGATTCTCGGCCTTAGAAATGCTTTAAAATGCTTATAATGCCGTTATTCGCGCCTTTTTCTCATGGTTTATCATACTCTGGTTTGTAGAAATAAATTGAATAAAATTCCAGACGTCATATATCGATAATTTGTATTTTGACTGAAAATATGGAGTTTTTATTTTCTTTTTCCGCAAAAAACAGCTGTCAGCTGGGTTCTGTATGAAAATGGTAGTGCTTACCTTTGCATCGAAAAGTTTCCGATGCATGGTTAATTTGTGTCCGATGTACGGTGAAAATAGCATACTAGTAAAAACCAGCTCGAATAAGAATTAAACAAAAATTGAAGTGAAATTTAATTATAATTTATGTAAAATTACCAATCCATGACAAAATTCACCAAAGTCCGACTCGTTCCGTGGAAGTCGAATTTAAAAGAACGATAACTCTAAAAATTGCAAAATCATAAATTTCGGGTTATTCCCCTTTGATGATGTAAAATATGACGTAACTTCAAGGCCATTTGCGGGGTATTTTTATCACAATATAATAAACACAATCGGTATCATTAAAAAATTTAAATCTTCGTCTTTATGACAGAAACAAATAAATGCACAGAACTCTTAAGTTGAAAGAGAGTTTTCCGAAGCAAGGTATGTGTCCGATGCATGGTGAACTCACCCTACTAAACAAGAAACATTAAAGCACTGAATATTGGTGTTATTTTTTATTTTTAAAATGGCCGTTTTGTTTTGTACCAAAGTATGACAACCATTGCTGCTGGTCTAGAGGAAGTAATTCTAGATCAGAGACGTCTTTCTCTAGACGGTAACGATCCAGGGGTAATGCGGTCTGGACTTTCATGGGGGTTCTGGTTTCTGGATTCTTTATGATGGGGATTAAGTTGACTTTGTGTATGGTGGTTTGATAAATCATGGAGTCGTAGCTGTAGTGCTGGTCCACTCTCTGGCCGGAGTGACTGACCAGGATCACAAGGTCAAGGTTACCGTCACCGTCCACATCACCCACGGCAGCTACCAAGCAGAAGCGGAATCATTACTCATAATCACCAGCTCTCAATACTCTTCTATTTTATGATTTACAAAATATGAAAGAATTTTTAAAATTCGTTTGCTTCAAAGATATTCCGTGACTATAAACAGACACCATGTGACTTACGTGTGGTTCTATCCTCTGGAAATAACAGGGAGCAGTAATTAAGACTGGTATTCTTTGCTTTCGTTTTCCAGTTTACAGCGGGGTCTACAACAAATGAGGGACGTACATCAATGCTATTATATTGTGTGTAGTTGAGTGTAACATGGAAAAATTTCATCCCAAGAAAACCATTGTCAACCGAGGTGCAGCCGAGATTTACAATGGTTTTCGAGGGGTGAAAATTTTCTATGTTACACTCAACTACATGCAATATTTATTATATTACGCTAAATGTTTTATACAAATGCATATTGCAGTGATCATAAATTATGCCAAATCTACATTTTTTCAGAATATCACCCGTCATAAAGCAGTGCTGACTGTTGCTACGCTGGAAGGCTTCACTATTCTGCGGTAATACCGGTAGTGTTTTTTAACAAATGTTTCTCGACGAATCAGATTCAACCAATTTACATAAAAGTATATTATTACGAATTGCTGATCTGAACTGATGTTTTGTAAATATAGAACTAGTTTGCGAACTTTTGGTTGCCCCTCGTAAACATCTACTCCACACAATAGGATGTAACTTACAGGAGCTAGATCGGTAACTTACGGTAATGATATTCCTCGGGTAACGTTTCGATCACTTTGATGGGTGTGTCCGCTATAGTTCTATCCATTACAAAAACCTCCGATTTAATATCCACACCAGTATTACATCGGAAATGGAACTTCACAAAATCGTTGTATATTGGATCATCTGAAAATACCATATATAAGAATGGAATGTTGTGAGCTTTCTATATTAATATTTTTTCACGTGGGGCTGAGTTGTTAATGTAAGAGTTGTTAAAGAAATGCCCTTTATATATAAAAGTTTAAATCATTACATACCCTGAGTAGAGTTCTTTGACTTGTCTTTAGGAAGAATTGAAATCTACGAGAGAGAAAAATCCTACATTGCAAGCATTGTTGATTCGGAGGCAACATTAATAATTAACCTAATAACAGATTTACCTTAAACATTTAGATATGGAATTTCTAAAAGCTATTAGTTAAGATAAGAAAAAGCAATAATATACATGTACTAACTTCCCCATTGTTTTTCTTTTTTCCGAGGTTCAGATAATTAAAAAAAACTGCCGATCACCCTACCAGCCTACTGTTTCAAGAGTACTTCATATAGTAGTTCGAAGACTATAACGGGTGACACTCACCCAACCTCGGTCCCAATGGATATGAAGTAGAAATCTAGATAGTATATAGTAGATATATAGATATATGTGGATTTTTCATTACAAATGTGTATTGTTCGTCCGTCGGTGGCGACGATGACCACTGTCTCATCTTCGTGGGGGAGGTTGACCAGGTGGGTGGGTGAGGAGGTCAGGCCGATCCTCGCACGGAATAGTCTCGGACAGTGAAGGCAGGGGATGGTGGCAGCTGCTGGGTCCTTGGCGCTGTCTTTCCTGGCCTGCCTGCGTTGTTCTGCTACAGACGTCCTGTTGGCTTCACAGCTCTTGGCGCCCTCGTTTACTGCAACTCTCCACCCTCACCTGTCTTGTGGCTGTGCTGCAACTTCCATGAGTTGATACTGAATGCCTTGAGGGAGGCCTTTAGGCTGTCCTTGAATCGCTTTCTTGGGGCACCACGGATATGCTTTCCTTCCTGTAGTTCGCCAAAGAGTAGTTTCTTGGGGACTAGATGGTCTGGCAAACGGACTACGTGTCCCGCCCAGCGGAGTTGTGACTGCATGAGCATGGTATAGATGCTGGGCAAGCCAGCTCGGGTGTGGACTTCTGTGTCGGGTTTCTTTTCTTGTCACTTGATGCTGAGAAGCTTACGCTGGTCGTGTGGAAGTGGTTCAGCTCTCTGGCGTACCTCTGGTAGACAGTCCACGCTTCACAGCCATACAACAGTGTGGAGAGAACCACTGCACGGTAGACCTTAATCTTTGTCTCTGTTGTGATGCCTCTTCTGTCCCACACGTTCTTGTACAGTCTGCCGAAAGCAACGCTCGCCTTGGCCAGTCTAGTGTTTACCTCGTCATCGATAACAACATTCCTGAAGAGAGTGCTACCGAGGTACGTGAACTTGTCCATTACATTTAGCCGTTGGTTGTTGATGGTGATGTTGGGCTCAAAATACGGTTTGTCTGCTGCTGCCTATGCATGACTTCGGTCTTCTTTGTGCTGATAGTAAGATCAAAGTTGTCGCAGACATCAGAGAACTTGTCAACGCTATGCTGTATATTGGCCTAGGAGGTAGCGTTGAGGGCAGAATCATCAGCAAACAGGAGGTCGTTGATGGTGTCCGGTTGAACCTTGGTCTTCGCTTGTAGACGTCTGAGGTTGAAGACTGAACCATCAAAGCGCCATTTGATGCCGATTCCGGTGTCCTTATCATCGAAGGCATCAGTCAGCATAGCGGAGAACATCAAGCTGAAGAGCGTCGGGGCAAGGACGCAGCCCTGCTTCACCCCATTGAAGATAGAGAATGGC